CTTTTAGCATCTCTTTTGTTCTACTGATCCTTATTAGGTGATCACCTTATCCTGAAGAAAAGGCAACTGATATCATATTATCAATAAATAAATCCAATTAACTTTTGGATCGTGGCGACTGGTGAGATGCCATATTTAGTGCCACATTCTGATGCCACTAATTGACAGAAGAAGAAAAAAAAAGCTTGAACACCCTTGAGAAAGGCCACGACGACGAGGTGAGAACAAACAGGCTACTGATCAAGTGAAATAGAAGATGGAGCAAAACTTTTTACATAATGGTGTTGCTTAAAAAAATGTATGTAGTTCACATGCTTGCATTGCCAATCTTCAACCCCAAAAAGAGGGCACCAAAATGTTCATGCAAGAATTGAACATATTAAATTTAAGAAATAGACAAAATGTAGCTTGCATTTGGACATGGTGAATCCAAAATGTGAAAATACAAATATAAGATTTCGTACATCCTTGGCTAACTTTTCATATGTGCCGTCTTGGCCAAAAACTCATGCTACAACTTTCGAAGTCCTAAATCTCGCTAAATTAATGAATAAGCATGGAGCCAAAGTCGAGGCACACAGAAATACCACGGAAGCCGGAGTCCAGATTCATGATCTTGGTTGTCCCTGAGAAATAGCAGAAAAATGATCTCGACTATTGATGCACAACTTGGCAGCAGAAACAAACGCGACAGTTCAAGCCTACTGGAAAAATGAGCTCAACCACTGATGCACAACTTGGCAGCAAAAACAAATGCAACAGTTCCAGCCTACTGGAAGAATGAGTTCCCTGCTGATGCACAACTTGGCAGCAGAAACAAACACGGCAACTCTTTTTGTGGATAAATTAGGCTATGTTCAGAGGCATTAAAATATTTTACAGTTTAGTTATGCAACAACAAATAAGATAATTGCCAGATTAGAGAAGGCACACTTCTCACAGAAAAAAGAAGAGAAGGCCTCACTAAAGAAGCATATTATGTTTGTATCTAATAACATAGAGATGCTACTAATGAATATAACTAAACTATTCCATGAGCAAAATGAAAACATGCATGTAGCTAGAAAGAATACGCATGTGGCTACAAAAAAGGAAGCAAACCTCAAGCACCAAAATAGAGTTATAGCAATCCCTTAAAAAAGAGTTATAGCAAAGCCGAAGATCAAGATGCAGCAAATGAGATCGTAGAACATGCTAAATAAACAGATATGAAGTAGTGAGAGCAGGTAAAGAGAACTTCATTCCCCAAGGCATTAAAATATTTTACAGTTCATTTTGCAAGTTCAAAATTGACACCATAGCGTCCCAGAACTGTAGAGTAAAACACCTTGCATGCTATGCATTTCTACCATGTTTCACTTTGAAAGAAAGCTCGATTGCAACTGAAATATCTCTCCTTGTATCTCCTATAACCTACACACCTAAATTAAACAAGCAAGTTAGAATGTCATTATTTATAAAGAAACACCACAACAACCTAATGAACTTTGTCCCTTCTTTAATAATTTCCTTTCTTTTCTGTAGTTCCAATTTTTCAACATGGCGCTATGATTCATCCCTATTTAATCTTACATTGAGATCCAAAGTTAGTGTATGGCATATATGTTAATACACCCACCCTAAAATCTGAGAAGAGCAAAAAAAACTGAGAAAGTTTCCTTCTTTATTCTAAGTTTTCGTTGAACTGGCAACTCAAGTTTTACGCCTCCTGCAAGAACTGAACTTCCTCAACAACCTCACAAATGTAGGACAAGTCAGGCAAGCACCAACATATTGAGGATTAAAAAAAATCTTATCAATACATGTGTTGAGGAACCAATCATAGACCTTTAGATTCAACGGCGCAATTATCCTAGAAACTTTTTAAGCCTCGAGAGCCCTTCAATTGAAGGGAGAACAGTAAGCATGCATATCCATCAACAACGAAAAACAGCTCATCCCGCAGTAAACAAAAAAACACGCTGCTAATTCTTAATATCATAAACCTTGTAAGATTTGTACCCACGAAGCCATGTTAGTGATTCTAACACCATATCAGTATACCACCGCCATAGTACTACACCGTCTAATTACTACACGATTAACCGACTGAAGAAAATCATTGCAGCATGAATCACACGGACCATACAAAACTAATTAATGAAATGATTTCTACATTAAAAAATCATGAATAAACAATTTCACATAAAGGAACCAGCTTGTTTCAAACCTGCAAAATGAAATATATATCTATATTCCCAGCGAGCAGCTACTATGGTGTGGTAATTACCTGATGTTAGGCATACATCTATATCCCCAGTGAGCAATCGTGGTGCAGATATGTAGTTAGCTTGAGCCTAGACAAAATTTATAGAGTGAGCTAGTTGGTGTCAGTTTTTTCATTACCATCTGGGACAGTGGGTTTGTCCATTTTCACATAGTTCACACCTTTCTTCTTCCTCGACAGCAAGCAAACCCAAAGGAAGCCGAGTACCGCGACCAACGCAACGGCCTTGGTGGACATGAACCAATCACAGCGCAATTGAGAAAGTGCGGAGTTTTGTTGTTGCTGGTCGGAGAAACACCTACTTGGTGACCAAAAGAAATGACGCACATCAGTTAATCACACATTCTACCATTTTTCAGAAAACAGTCCCCAGATTATACTCAAAAGCATGGTTAACTGAAATTTGGTAGCTAACCATACACAGAAGCACATAATGGCACCATGTGGTTATAGCAGGCAAAAGGAAGGCCTTCCAGTACTAATTGCTCAGATACTAATTTTTTTACTTGGCACATCCACTGAATAAGGTGAGCTCATTCTCTGAAGCACATAAATCAATGCTAAGAGCATCTCCAACGGCCGCCCCAAACGACGCGCGCGCGCGGGGCGGTTTGCCGCGCTCCAGCGGCCGCAGGAAACAAGCGCGCGGGGGAACCGTTTGCGCGCGCGCGCAAAAAGGCGCCAGCTCGCGCGCAAGATTTGGCGCGCCGCTTCGCGCGCGCCTATAAAAGTGCTGCGCGCGCCACGCGCCTTCTCCATGCTTCCTCTTCTCCTCTTCCTCTCCCTCTCTGCCACATGCCGCTCCAGCACCCCGCCACCGACGCGCCGCCATGCCGCCGCGCCGCCGAGGAGCGTCCGGCTACCGCGGCGTCTGCCTGCGCCCCAACGGCAGCTACTCCGCGGAGATACGCTCCGGTGAACTCCGGCTAGGCCTCGGCTCGTACGGGACAGCGCGCGAGGCCGCCCACCGTACGACGTGGCGGCGTGGCGCCTAGGCCGGCCACGCGGCCAGATGAACTTCCAAGATGTGTACACGCTCCAGCAAGCACTCAACTTCGCCCCTCTGCCTCGTCTGAACACGGCGGAAGACCGTGCGGAGCATGCCGAGCGGCAACGCCGCCTCCTCGTCGCCCAGGAGGACGAGCGGGTCATGGCGGAGTGGCGCCAGCGCCACCCGAAGGATGTCGCCTACGAGCAGTCCTACTGGGCAAGGCGCCGCGAGGAGGACATGCGAAGGCGCCACGTGATGCGGTTGGACAAGCGTCGGCGGAAGGCGTTGGCGAATGCGCAGTCCGACCTCGTTGCAGCAGGTGGGCAGTCGTTCTTCATGCCAAACGATGAGCGGTGGCTGGACATCTGGCTAACTACCTCGGACAACACCGCCGAGGATGATAGTGGTGATGATGATAGCGACTTAGATAAGTTTTTTGATGCAATCTATGTTTTTTATCGTTTGTCGTTTTTATTTATGCAATCTATGTTTCGGATGTAAAATACCTTTGTATTGTTTAAAATCTATGTAATCTATCTAGTTTTTTTAAAATTTCTGCTTTCAATGCCTACATTTCTAGTTTGTAGAACGAGCGCGTGCGCTGCATTTTTGCGCGCTGCTGGAGCGGCGCGCGCGCTGCATTTTAGCGCGGCTGCTGGAGCGGGCGCAGCGCGCCGCGCCAAACTAGGCGATGGGCGCGTGCTAAAGCTGTTTTTTACGTGCGCCGCATTCGGCGTCTGTTGGAGATGCTCTAAGGAAAAGGCTTAGAAACAGTAGCAGCAAGTCGAAGATCAAGTTGGACAGAGTACTGTCTAAATGGCATCCCCCTTTTTTTAAAAGACAAAAAGATTTAAATGGCCTCGTAACTGAATAAGATGTGGAGATGGAGAAACCATTCGTACGAAGCTGCTCAGTACGACTTAACTGAATTCACTAACTTGAAGTAACAATGAAGAAAGAAGAAAGCACTCATAAATGGAGATTCTCTCTTCTTTAAAGATATTACAATACTCACATCTTCTTGTAGGAAGAAAAAGCAAAGAAAGAAGGATGTTGTGAACGAGGAAGCTCTTGTAACCAGCGCAACATTGTCATCTTTCATGGGACGAAAAACAACATTGTATTGTCGCTTCTGAACTTAAACCAAGCAAACTAACATGGCCCACAAATAAGAGTTTAGCACATTATTTTGCAGACCTTTAACTTGCAAACCATCCATATAAAGTGTAAGATTACTACAGCCTCTAAAATACTCATTGATGGCATACATGACAAACAAAAGATCGTGTAGGAAACACTACCATTCTGCATAGTAGAACTACTATCCATCCCATTCATCTGGATGTAGAAGAATTACTTTTCTATCTTGCCAGTTCACTAATCAGTACAAAAATGTGACGTTGCTGAAGCCAACAGCTTGCTTATCTTCATGATAGCTCCAATGACCCACACTTTCAAAACAAAATTCAAGGCATTTTTTTGTGACATAAAATGCAAGGCATTATTAGCTCTGTATCATTGCTAATACACCCATCTTAGTGCTTATACACCCAGCCTAAAATATGAGAAGAGCAAAAACAAGAATCTGCATACGGAATGACAATTAGATTGGTCTGAAAGCTCCCTTCCCCAATTCGAATTTTGTTCTCTTGCACACACATCAGACCAACACATATGATCTGAAACAAGAGGAACAGCGGGCTAGATACCTTGGAGACGATCCATTGCGTCTGGACCTCGAGGTCAGCAAGAGAGCACGTTTTGTGTGGTAGCCACAAGCATCTGGCTGTCGATCTCTGACTTAGGCCACCACAATCGGTGGAGAAAACCCTCATCTCCGCCTGGGAGCAAGGTGAAACATCAACTACTGTAACTACCTCTCATTGATGAGAAGGGAGAAGAAGCTCACCCAGTAGCAGAAAGGAGGTGATAACCAGAGGGATGACATGCTCCACCCCACGTTGTCGTCCTCGTCCTTGGCCGGGCGATGAACGCAGGAACACCCTCTTCAATCCCCGCGTCCTCGCCCTCTTCCTCGGCCAGCCCTCTTCCTTGGTGTTAGGCAGTGGGGAAGTGGAAGAAGAAGGATCCAGGAGTGGATCGAGCCGCCACCAACCACCAGGTCGTACCTGACCTCGTCGCGGTCGGTGACCCTCTCCCGTCCGCCGCAGGGCCTCCCTCCTCTCCTTCCTTCTCTCCCTCTCTCCCATCTTCTCTCTCCTGCAGGGACCGATCCATGTGGTCGCCCTTTGCCGCCGCCACCGGAGAGGCTCGCCTCCACGGCCGCACGCCTTAGATCCGGCGGGAGGAAAAGGAGGAAGCGACCCGCACTGTCCTGTTCTCCGATGGCGCGACATGCGCGTGAGCGTTGGGAAGGCGAGGAGGAGAAAAAGGTGAGGTGCTGGAGGAGGAGCCGAGGGCGACGGCGGCGTCCTTGGCCGAGCACACGCACGGAAGGGAGAGGGAGGGGTGCAGCGGCTCGTGGGGGTCGAGGGGAAGGAGAAAGGGAGCTAGGGTTCCTCGTTTGGTGGATGGGGTAGGGTGAGAGCCACGAGACGTGGGTGATTGGGTGCGGAGCGCCCGAGCTGATTGGGGCAAATCCTCCTGCACGCGGAAAGGGCCAACCCAGCCAACGAGCGCCGACATGAGCCCACCAGTCATTGGACTACGAAAATGACCGCTAGGTGAAATTAGGTTTGACTGCAAGCGAAGATCCGACGGTTCAGACGCGCCAGAAGCCAGATCGGACGACCGGCGAAGGAGCTGATCGAGGGAGCATCCTGGAGGTGAGTTGGCTAGCCTCTGTTTTGTTTTAAATTTGTTCCCACCCTCTCAACCACCGATTGGTTGTGCACCCCTCACCCCTTCTCCCCGGGAGAATATCATGTGCCCCCATACCTTACATGATATATGCCGATACGAGTTGTTTGGAACTTGTAGATCTGAGATATAGCAGCTCACATGATGTGTCTTAATTTTTTTGCAGGAAACCTTGATGAGTTTGAGAATTGCACACAATTTGTACAAAAACTACTTAGATGCCCTTTGATCCCATATCCAACAACCTCGAAGCTCGTATCACCGTAGCATCTAAGATGAAGGAGGACATCATATTCTCATGTATGTAAGAATATCATGTGCCACCACACCTTAGATGCTTTGGTGATACAAGCTCTTCGGAAGCGTTGGATTTGTGACCCAACACCTCCTCGGTGGTTCGAATGGTTTTTTGTAGAAAAGCCCCAAAAGAGTTCAGCCACTGCTTACAAGCACAAAGACTGCTCAGATGCCATTGGATCTCAGATCAAACGACCTCCAAGCTCGTATCACCGTAGCATCCAAGCTGCGATAGCACCTTATGTTTTCTCGCACGGGAGAGTATGAGGTGCTCCCGCACCGTAGATTCTATGGTGATACGAGTTCACTGAGATCTAACGGCCCACAGTAGGAGGTTTGAATGTTTTTGCAATATACGGCTGATAGAGTTTGGGAAATGCGCAGAAAGTACAAGTACTATGCATGTGCCATCTGATCACTGATCATACGACCTAGATGCTCATATCACCGTAGCGGATAATTAAGCTACGGGGAGCACCTAATATTACCACCGGGGAGCCGTTGAATCGAAGATGCAGCGGCACACACGAGGCCTGAATGTTTTATTTGCAAAAAAAACTTTGGAGAGTTTGGAAATTGCGCATAATTACAAAGACTACTCGCAAGCCATTGGATCTCACTTCCAATGGTGTAAAAACTCGTATCACCATAGTATCTAAGATGCGGAGTGGATGTGATATTCTATGCCGCTATCATTTTTGTTTGTAAACTTGCAAAATACGTGTAACTCGTGCCATTACTTGTCTAACCGCGCAAAGTGTTTGTTCAAAAAAACCATCCTACACTGAAATATCAGAACAACACACGGGGGTCCCACTTGTCATTAATCAAATTTGGACCTAAAACTAACAAATCTGAAAGACGAGATTCAAACTGGCAACCTGGACTACAAAGCATAAGTCGATAGCCTGAAAAAACAAATGGTTGTTGGCTTTGTCCCATAACTTGATTTTATATAGTACTTGCGTTGAGTAGAGTAGAGGGAGTGCCTCGTCAACACGTGCATGACCGTTGTCTCACTTACGGGTGGTCCCAGGTCTGCGATCTCAATCTCTCTTCTCTCCATCGTCTAACCTTTGCACGGGCACACACGAAGAGCGGCGCTAGCTTGCCGTGGTGTTATTACAACTAAAAAAAGCTTGGAAAATAGAAGAATCGCCTAGAACAAGAGACGTTGCGGCTGGTCGAGACGGAGCTAACCGTGCCACGTTTGCATGATGGAGCTGTGTGGCTAGTGGGGTGTTTTCGACCGAATGGTTGGGTCCCGAGGTTGAACCATAGGTACTACATCTGATACAGTATATTTTTACACGCACATTTTTCCTCCGTGCCGAGACGTGGCACACCCTACCGCGCGGTTTCGGGGTCCTCCCGGGTGGTGCACGCATATATTCTTCCTGGCATGGGACGCCCTACCGCATGTTTTCTGGGTCCTCCTCGGTCATAGTGCTAAAGCAAGTAAATGAGTCGTGAAATCACGAAAGACCACCTTTCCCGCCGAGTACATTAGTGAAGCACGGTGGCTAGCTAGTTGGGCTAGTTCGACCGATTAGCTAGGCCGCCGCCAATTTGTTTTTTCACCCCTTTTTTATCTACTTGCCGACAGGTAAATTTAAATATCCACCACGGCGTTGCTCTGGTGTTTGGGTGCGGCGGGATTTTTAATTTTTTGATTGACGGGAGCAAGCGCGGTAGCAATTAGTCACGATGACTCCGCCTATAAAAACCCACTGCTCCCTGATGTGAGAAGACATCGACTGGTGTTTTACCATGGTGAAAACCAAAAGATTCCCCGCTCCTCGGCTGGCTCCCTCCGCCTTCCCGTAGATTGCATTGCCTTTCAGCCGTTTCGCCCCCTTTGCTTCCTCTCCCCATTGCTTCTACCTGGTGCCATGGTGGCGCAGCAGATCACGGAGTCCGAGGTGAGGCACCTGACACAGGAGCTCCATGCCAAGGATGCGGAGCTCAGGGCCAAGGACGTGGAGCTCCGTGAGCTCAAGGATGAGAGGAGTGCCATGCTCCTCCATTATGTGCGGGAGTTCACGGAGCTTCAAAAGCGGCAGGCGTTCACCAGAAAGATGCTCGAGGCGTCGGCGGCGTTGCTGCAAAAAGAGGGAGATACGATAGGCCGTCAGGGGAGCCGGCTGGAGCGCGAGCGGGCCGATCGTGACGAGGTCCAGGATCGCCTCAGCCACTTGGTGAACCAAGTTGCCACACACGTGTTGCGGCTGCGCGATGCCTACCATCGTGCCAGCGCAACGATGTCGGCCGTCGGGCTAAACCCGTTCGACCACCCGGTCGACTTCAATGAGCTGCGGCTTCCTGACCTGGTCTCCTTCTTCACCTATATCTCCGAGGAGCTGAGCCGTCTCCGCGCGATGGTGGGGGCTGAGCTGGACAAGGAGGGGTTGCGCGCTGCCGTCGCCGTTGCCGGGCGAATCCTTTCAGGGCTCCGTCACCGGAATCCATTCGTGCCATTGGACGCCGTCTTTGACGAGTTGGCTCCCGTCGACCGGGAGCGGGCTCTGCGGGCGGTTGCACCCTGCATCACCAACGTCGTGCGCCTCGAGAAGCAGAGGGACTTCGGTGGTGTTTAAGCACCCTCTGCATGGGCATGTCCATCTCTCGGCGCAACATGACCGTTGGATCAAACTCAGACGATGCAGATTCGTCACTGTAGCACAAAGCGTGTGGGTGTGTTTGGTTGCATTCTCATCTCAATATAGTTGTTTCCTCTTCGTGTATTTTTGTCAACCTACTAGTGTGGACTCATGCACCCTTCATACACTCTGCCAAACACCCAAAAGTGGGTCGAGAAGGGAACTTTTGCTCCCATCCTGTGCACCCTTCATACACCCTGTCTAACACTATAGGATGTGCTTCATATGGTTCATGTTTCGTGGAGTACTGTAGCACCGTACTCTCCATGCGTTGCGGACCTAGTTCTGTTAACATCGATCTCACCGTTCATTCTCGACCGGACAGTCAAAAAAGCGGTACTATGTTACATATAGGAGTAGTTGACATGCGCACAACACAGCAACAAGATTGTGTAGTACTGACGTATGAACCACTGCACATGCCTAGTAGTAGGAGCACTGTGTATGTTCAAGTGGCTGCCGTGTTTCGCACTCCTCCGTCGTAAGAGTGGAAACGCTTGTTGTAATCATTTTTTCTTCAGAATGAAAAACAGTGGACACGCTCTACCGTGCGGATCCTCCTCCAGCCATGCACTAAATTACTCACTTTCACTGACGTGTGGGACAGCCAGCACCTGGGTCCACCAGCCATGCACTAAATTACTCCATAGTAGAGTGACGGTAGACTACCCTGATCGAACCGCCGTAGTAATGCCCAATGAGCCGTCAAATCACAAAGCCCCCTCCTTTCCAGCAGTAAGTTGGACGGACGAAGCAACCATCATTTCACTCTTCTCTGTCAGCTTCCTCTCTTGAAGAAAACCCCCACTCGCTTTGCTTCTCCCTCATCTCGTTCCTCCTTTCACTCTTCTCTCTCAGCTTCCTCTCTTGGATGGACGCTGGAGTACCGGCCGACATGATGTCTATGGCTCTGGCCAAAACTGTCGAGGCTCATGGTACGAAGAAGTGCAAGCACCCCGCCGAGACTACCGCAGACAAGCTCAAAGCCACCGCCCTGTCCAAGCCCCCCTCTCTGGGATCCCTCATTAAGCAAGTCCAGGTAATGTCTCTTGTTGACGATCTTTTTCTCGATCTTGATCGTGTTTTTTCATCTAACACGCAGTACTAGTATTGGTAGTACAACTTTTTGGGTGATCTTTCATGTGATTTTAGTGTGCCAAATGATGATTCTAAATTCCTCTTTTGACCAAAACATGCAAGAGGTTGACACTGATTTCTTATAGATTACTTTCAACTACACCCTCTGTCCCAAATTTCTTATCTTAGATTTTTCTAGATACGCATGTATCTAATACTAAAATGTGACTTGATACATCTGTATCTAGACAAATCTAAGACAAGAATTTTGGGACGGAGGGAGTACTTTATGAACATCAATGCTACCTTTTAAGAGGGTATATTTGCCTCAGTAACTTGTGTTATGGATATTGCATGTAATCCCTCTGCTCTCATGCCTTTGAAGACATGTTCTAGTGTCTTTGTTCACTCATTTCCTGTGCGTATATGTAGTCACATATGGAGTATAATATCGAAAATCATCTTATATTTCTGAACGGAGGTAGTAATGAAATATGGTTTTT